AAAAGAAAGAAATCACCATGACGCGCAAACCGTAAGGATTAACCCCCCATCAGCGCTACTGCATTCGTTTCTTTTTTTTTCTCATTTCTCTGCCTGTCCCTTGTCACAAATTTGAACCCCTATTTTTTGTTCATCTCTATACACTGTACAGCATATATTTGCCTACGGTATGTAGCCGTTTGCGTTGAGTAGGTTTCGCATGAGCGACCAAACTTTTTTAATTTTGTGATTCTCCAGAGTACAACTCCTTCACGCGCACAAAGTTCCACGAGGCTTAAACGCAAAGCCTATTCCTGCTGTTAAACGTTTTCGCCTCCTTCTTCTGCTGTAAAAGTCTAATGGTTGTGGCCACCCATGTAGATAATCCTACACGAGTGTTTGCATACCCACAGAATTGCCAAGGCATGATTGTGTGCATCTTGTCAGTAATTGCATCAACCCCGTTGGGATGAACTACTGACACATTGTTTACCCTTCTCGTGTGAAGATATTACTGCTCCTGATTTTTTGCTACTCCGTTCAGGTAGCTGCTTCCTTATGCACATGTACATGGCAACATTATACACGTTTGTTTGCCAGCTGGGGAGAGCAAAAGCGTTCGTCACATTTAAGAAGCGCGTACCTTCATAGACTCTCTCGCTGTATCTATCTCCCTCCCTATCCCGCTTTTTTTCAAATGGAAACAGTTTACACTGCATAAGAAACGAAACATACACCGATGTGTTATACGTATGCGCACAGGACCTTCCACTTCTGTGACGCACGTGCTTTTAGGCGCGTCCCCTCAGCCTGTCCATCAGAGTAAAGGAAGCACACCTATTCAGTAGGTAAAATATAAAATGTGGATTTTTTTCCTAATCCATCACACGCTTACCCATTCATTGCAGAAGCGTTGCTTGAACTGCATGTATGTATATTTAAGAGGCGCTGAGTCAGTGACTGTGCCTTTCACCTGCGCGTGTTTACCGCGTGGCTGATTGTTATACACGTATGCCTGCTTTTATGCACACCAAAACGTACATTTATATTTACGTCGCTTTAGTTGTCTTCCCCCGTGCGCGCCTATCCATAAAAAGTACCAGTTTATGTACACCCGTGTGAAACTCACTTACGAATGTTATCTGTCGCCACTCTTTTGCGTTATCCTATTCGTTGTTCCCCCGTCCCCCACTAGGTAATTTGCCTTTGTGGCCGCTTTCTAAATGGAAACCCGACAAAATCTGTGTTGCACGTTATACCATATTTCCCCCACACTTGAAATACACGCATCATCGTTGGAAACTCCCACCCAAATGTGCAAAACGGACAAAGTTAGACAAGTATACAGTTTTAACTTACATCAGAAGAACAAAAAAAAAATGTCAGAATTAAGCAAAAAAGAGAGCTTACATTTTTCGGCTAACTAGCAATAATATAGAAAAAAAAAAAAAAAAAAAGAAGTTTACCACCTTTAGATCCACAAATCACGCAAAACCGTAGAATAAAAAAAAAATTGCTAGCTAGCCAATTTAACGAGTACAAAATGGAAAAGAGAAACATAAACGTTCAGAACATAATATACAGTAGCACAGTATCAAGTAAGTGCAGAGTGAAACGTGGAAAATTGAAAATCATGTCTAACTGCCTTTTCCTTATTAAGGAGATATATAAAAGTTGGTCCAATTTTTCTGCATTTTTTCCCCCGTCCCTCTCGTAGGCATCTTCGTCAGTCTTCTATGCACCCCCCTGGACGTAATAAAAAATTACATCCAGTACAACAGCAACATAAATTTCGACAAGAAGTACATTTTAAAGAAAATTACCAAGAAGAACAAAAAGAGGCTGCTGAAGTTTAACTCCTTTTACTACCAGACATTCAAAAACATTTACAACAAGTATGGAATTAGGGCCGTCTATAGGGGTAAGCGGAGCGCGCGCAGCGTGGCGATTGTCGCCACGCGTTTTGGGGAACCGTGTCGTGCAGCTAACAGTATATGTGTGTGCATGTACATATATATATGCATACATATATATATATGCACACACACAGTAGCGTATCATCGCCGCCCCCCCTTTTAAACGTTTCGCCTCCCCCCGACAGGCCTCTTCTCCACCGCAAACCTGTACATAATAAACAACAGCTTGTTTTTTTATGTGTACGAAGAGCTAAAGGATAAGGGCATTCCATACTACCTGAGCGCAACGATCTCGCGATTTGTCTCCATCATCATAACGTCGCCGTTGGAGTTATACCGAACAAATGTTCAGGCGAACGTTTGCAACAATTACAAAGTAAGCATCCTGGACATTTTAAAGGATAAAAAAAACAGAAAAATAAAAATAAATTTTTACAAAGGAATTACCTCAACACTTATTAGGGACATCCCCTTCTCTGCCATCTACTGGTCCCTTAACGAGTACTTAGTTAGCTACATAAAAAAAGTGGACTCAGAATATGAAAAGAGAAAAAAATTTGTAAGAAAATTTGTGTACCCATTTATATGTGGATGTTTGAGTAGCACCATAACCACGTTTCTAACTCATCCACTAGACATTATAAAAACCAACATGCAAGCCAGATGTATTGACATCATACAAAAGAGCGACTTTGACTATAGGAAGATTAAGAATTATGATTCCCACTCGAGGAATCGAGCCACCAGCTTTTACAACATCTGTCAAAGTAATTTATACAATAATAAGTACCTGTACGATGTTAAGGTAAATAGTTACGCACACAATGATCACCGTAGGATACATTATAAATATGGCTCTGGCAAGTACGGTTCAAATACTTATAGCTACAAATACTACAACTATTTTAAGTGGACAAACAATTATAATTACAACGTTTTTTCTGTAGCGAAAGTTATTTTTAAGAAAAACGGACTGCGTGGATTTTACATTGGCATTTGTCCAAGATTGGTAAAAATTGTGCCCACCTGCGCTATTCTTTTTTCCACATACCACTACTTTAACTGCTGACTGTGTGGCGTCATATATGTGCTCTGTGCGCATCCCTCCATGGGTGATTCTCTCCACGCGCATTTGTTTCGTTTATCCTACTGTGTGTCCACCACTCTCATTTTAAATATCAACACATTGTCCCCTTTTTGCCTCCCCGTTTGGTATATTTACATAAACATGCGGAGGCGGGCGTAAATCCGGACGGCCGCGCCTTT